TGGGGCGCCCCGAGGCAGGAAGGCCCCGGGCTCAGCCCTGCCAGGGCAGGAGGGCGTGTGGCCGGGCTGGCAGCGCCGCTGGGGGGGGCAGCTGTGCCGCTGGGGCCGTGACAGGATCTGTGTTCCCAGGGATCGCCGGGGGGTACCTGAGGGGACAGCACAAAGAGCTGCAGCTCATCATCGATGGTGAGTGAGGGCACTGGGGGCTGGCAGAGGAGCACAGAGCCTGGGCAGGCAGCTGCAGTCCTGCCCTGGCTGCGGAGGGCTCTGCTCCCTGCAGGGATGAGGGGCGGCGTGGGCAGAGCAGAGAGACATTTCAGGGGCACGGGGGGCATTGGTGGCCAGTGCCTTCTGCCTCATCCTGCTGGGCCCTGCTCCCTCCTGGCAACGGTAAGAGCTCGGTGGGATGGCCCTGGCAGGAGGGGCTCCTCAGATCCCCACCAATGTGGGCTCTGACCTTGGCTCTGTTCCTCTCTGTTCCAGCCCTTCAAGCCATGAGAGAAGACAAGAGCCCCGCTGTCTCAAACCTGGCACGTGAAAACATCAACTTTGTTAGAGCTGTACAGAGAGCTAGAGCTCCCCCCTCCAGGTTCCAGCAGCTCCAAGACCAGCTCTGCAGGGCATGGAACAGCCTGCCTTCTCTGTGGGGATGTGTCTGTTGTAGCTGTGTGGAGAGTTGATCCTGGCAGCTCTGTCTGTTGGAGCCACCTGAACCTGTGGGGAAGATGCCTCTTCTCCACAAGCCTTTTTTTTTTTACCCTAGAATAGGAATATTAAATAAATAATGTCATACACAGAAGACCAGGAGCTTTTTTAGGTGCCTGGTGTCCACAGGGCATCTGGAAAGAGGAGGAAAGGGCTCCTTGTGCTCAGCAACACTTGCCCAGGTGTGCACTGGGGAAGAGAAAGTGCTCCAAAGCCCCTTGGCCTTGGGGGGTTCTGCTGAAATCTCAACACTTCCGGCAGAGTGGATGGGCAGAGCCTGGAGCTGTGAGGATCATTGGGAACCTGGTCCTTGGAGGTGGCCACAAGCCCTGTCCCAGCCAGGAAGCAGCATCTGCGGCCTGCCCACGTGTTGCTGTCTGGATTGCTGAGGGCTGGGAGGTGCCTCAGGAGGTGGCTCCTGTGGAGCTCCTTCAAGGCTGTGCTGATGCCGGGCAGGTGGGCGGGGCTGGGGGAGACCCTGAGGGGAAAGGGCTGTTGTTCCCTTTTTCCAGCCCTGCACTGTAATTGTCAGTCTGACTCCAAAAACTGAACATGGATGAAGATTCCTCCCAGACCAAAGGTACCAGGACAGAAAGCTCTTGCTGCCCATGGAGTGCCCAGGCTGGCCCACCAACTGCACCTGAAACCCAAAGCTTACAGGCTTTCTTTCCTGGGGGAAAGGGCTGTTGTTGGCTTTTCAGAGCCCTGCACTGGAATTCCCAGTCCAACTCCCTAAATTGAACATGGACGAAGATTCCTCCCAGACAAAAGGTGCCAGGACAGAAAGCTCTTGCTGCCCATGGAGTACCAAGAGTGGCCCACCAACTGCACGAGAGATGTGGGGTAAGGGCTTTCTTTCCGGTGTGGAACTGCCGCCATTCAGTTTTTGGATCCCTGCGTTGAAATTGGCACTGCGACTCCACAAAAACACAGCCACAGACCTACCTCACAGGCCACCAGAGAGAGCTGGGAGGGGGGCTGTGCTGTTCCTGCTCACCCTGCCTGGGCGACCTACTGCCCAAACTGCCCTGCCACGCCCTCCCTAACAAGCCACCCTCCTGTTTGCTTGCTCCTGTTGGCCACATTTGAGATCGCTCGCACTTACTGGACCAGTTTATATGATCCAGAAACAACCGGGACTCCCTTCCCTGATGAGCTGATTATGCCTTGCAAGGCAGCTGGGCTCAGCTGGGAGGACTTTCTCCCAGTAGTTTAAATCTCCCACCAATGCCCTCAGCTCCATCCAATGATCAGATGATTAGATCTTGCAGAGCAGCTGGGCTGAGCTGGGCTGACCGGGGAGGAGCTTCTCTATGGAGTATAAATCTTGGACAAAGAACCTCAGCTCCTCTCTTGGTCACCTCAGAAGGCCTTCAAGGGCAGCTGAGCTGAGCTGGTCTGCTCAGATGCTAGGACATAGAGCGCTTACTGCCCATGGAGTGCCCAGGCTAGCCTACTCACTGCACTACAAACCAGAAATGTAAGGGTTTTCTTTCCAGGAAAAAAAGACTGATGTTTTCTTGCAGAAATCATAGAGCTGCAATAGGCAGTCCAGCTCCAAAAATTGAATATGGATGAGGATACCTCCCAGATAAAAGGTACCAGGACAGAAAGCCCTTGCTGCCCATGGAGTGCCAAAGCTCACTCACCAACTGCACCACAAACCACAACGGTAAGTGCTTTCTTACCTGTGATAAAGCAGTGTTGAATTTCAGGAATCCTGTGCTGAAATGGCCGATCTGACGCCCAAAATTGCATATGGACGAAGATTCCTCCTAGACTAAAGGTG